CAAATAGAAATTTGCTATGCCAGGACATATATATCCCAATATAACCTTGTACAGTTGACATTCACATTGTTGTCTAACGTGATATATATAGACACGTTGTAGGTAAGTTTCATTCATATATATTCCAACATTTTTAACCTTATGAAAAAATTTAAAATGAATGTTAAATTTTTATAATTATATATATATATATATATATATATATATATATATCCATTCTACTATCCATTCCATCCAACCAAATAAAAAAGTCAGGTAGACACCTTCCCTACCTTGAGGATGCCTCATCCATCACTTCTACTCTCTCTTCAATCCATTTTTCCATCCCTCTAACCAAACGGAACATTAGTGTAATTATCTCTTTAACTTTATATATATATATATATATAATATTAAAATATTAAAAATTAATACTAATGTGTCTCATGGATTGATTGACTTTGTTATTTGGACAATTATTTATATATCAATAAGATAATACTAATCTTATTTTGGATACAGAAAACACTAATATAGATAGAAAATAGTATATCTTCCCAGTAGGGCATGAGAGTTATCAAAAATGTTTGTACAATTGAATCAAAATGATGTCCCACACACGTGGATTGCACGTGAATGAACAGTTACAATTAAGTCACTCAGGTAAGTTGGTGTTCATTTCGTCATTTTAATTACTTCTCACAACATAGTTTCGTAAATTTTAGTTTAATAAAATTTTAATTAAAAATTGAACAACAAAATAGGATGAACTTTCTAAATTGATGCAAACTACTTTTATTGTATGCATTAATGTCAAATTTTGGTGAATACACTCAACGATTGCAATAAAATCAATATGAGAAGTTTACGTTAATATGTTCAACGGTTACAATTAAGTTGTCTGGTTTAACGATATTTTTTTGTTATTTTATAATTAACTTATTTTTAAAAAATATTATTGATTTTAAAATTATATTATAATGACTCTTATCTTTTAATTTAGTTATCTCTTAACCTAATAATGATATAAAATATATTAAAATAAAAAAAATATTACATAATTATGCACTAATATATCTCATTTATTATTTGACTTTGTTACGAACAACCCTCTATTATTGCAATAAGAGCACACATATACACTAACCTTATTTGGATGCGGAGGACACTAACTAGTATAGGACCTATAAGTGTTAGATAGTATCGTCTTCCGTGTAAACATGTCAAAGTTACCAAAGATGGGTATAAAACTAATTAAACCAAAATGATGACGCACACACATGAAATACACATGAATATATTCAGCGCTTACAATTAAATCAGTCTGATAAGTTGATGTTATTTAATTATTTAAATTAATTTGTCACTTATATATTTTAAGAAATAATAATAATTTAATGAATAAACAATTAAAAATTAAATGGCAAAAATAAGATTGACTTTCTAACTCGGCACAAACTATTTTTATTATTTATTATATTCATTTATGTAGAGTTTTGGTAAATACACTCAAAGATTATAATTAAGTCGTTTAGTATGACAATTTTCTTTCGTCATTTGATCATTAACATCCTTTTTTGAAAATATTGTTAATTTAAAAATATATTATAATGACTTTTATTACGGTTACAATTAAGTTGTACGCGTAGTATTATAATGTTCTTTTGCCGTTTATTATTAACTTAAAAAAAAAAAAAAAATTATTGATTTAAAATATGTAATAATGGCTTTTATCTTTTAGTGTTATTATCTCATTATCTAATAATAATATAAAATACATTAAAGAAAATAAAAAATATTACATACTAATGTACTAATATATATACCTCATTGATGGATTGACTTTGTGATTTCGACAACCTTTATTATTGTGATAAGACAATATTAAATATGTTTAAATACGAAAAACATTAGTATAGGTTGAGGATATTATTGTCTTCTTAGTAGGGCGTCGGAGTTATAAAAAATGGGTGTACAATAGAACAATTGAACCAAAATTATGTCAGGCACACATGGAATGCTCGTGAATTAATTTATCTCTTATAATTAAGTAGGCAATAATTATTTTGTAACTTGAATTAACTTCTCGATTACTAACATATTTTAAAAAATAAAAAATTAATAATTTGGAATTAGATAAACAACAAAATAGGACGACCTTTCTAACTTGACATAAATTACATTTATTATATGTATTTATGTGTAGTCTTGGTGAATACGCTCGGCGATTACAATTAAATCAGTCTCGTGAATATGTTTGACATTACAATTAAGTTGTTTAATATGATAGCGTTCTTTTTTGTCATTTTATTATTAAAATGCTCGTGAATTAATTTATCTGTTATAATTAAGTAGGCAATAATTATTTTGTAACTTGAATTAACTTCTCGATTACTAACATATTTTAAAAAATAAAAAATTAATAATTTGGAATTAGATAAACAACAAAATAGGACGACCTTTCTAACTTGACATAAATTACATTTATTATATGTATTTATGTGTAGTCTTGGTGAATACGCTCGGCGATTACAATTAAATCAGTCTCGTGAATATGTTTGACATTACAATTACAATTAAGTTGTTTAATATGATAGCGTTCTTTTTTGTCATTTTATTATTAACTTTTTTTAAGAAAAAAAATATTGTTGATTTTAAAATCTATCATAATTACATATTTTGTAGTGTAATTTTCTTTTAACTTAATAATGATATAAAATATATTAAAATAATAAATAAAAAAACACTACATAAGTATGTACTAATATGCCCGATTGATTAATTGATTTGGACAACTATTTATTATTGTGATAAGACAATGCTAACTTTGTTTTATTTATTAAAAAAAATATTAACCTTATTTTGAAAATACATAGAAAACACTAGTATAGGACATATAAGTTGAGAATGGTATGGTGTATATATATATATATATATTTTTGATAATCCAGAACTCCCTGAGGCAGGACCCTTCGGACCCACCTCCAGGGCACCAAACTGGATACTGCAGCTAACCCCACAGGCACAGTACCAGGTTAGTCGACGAAACTAATATATGGTATATTTTGATTAGGGCATCAGATCGAGTTATCAAACTTAGGTGTACAACTAAACCAAAATGATGTCCCACACGTGGATTGCACGTGAATAAACTCGATGGTTACGATTAAGTTAGTTTGCTAAGTTGATGCTATTTTTGTCATCTTAATTAACTTCTCACTAACATATTTTCAAAAATTAATAAGTTAAAAATTAAAAATTATACAACAAAACAGGATGGACTTTCTAACTTGACGCCAACTAATTTTATTATATACATTTATGTAATGATTCGATTAAATATTAAATGAACATTTTCAACTGTTACAATTGAGCTGTCTGGTATAAAAATATTCTTTTGTCGTTTTATAATTAACGTATTTCTCTTTCTTTTTTTAGATATTATTGATTTTAAAATATGTCATAGTGATTCTTATACTTTAATTTAATTATCTGTTAACCTAATAACTATATAAAAAATATTAAAATAATAAAACAATGGGCAATTATGTACTAATACGCCTCATTGATTAATTAACTTTGTTATTTGGAGAACCCTATTGCGATAAGTATTGCATTCCTGATTTGAATGGTACGTATGTTGTGGGATCGATACATGTGTTCTAAATATATAAAAAAAAAAATACTAACACTCTTTTTGACACGAAAATATCCTCTTACATTTAACGAAATTTTTTAATTTATATAAAAAAAAATGATAATATTTTCTTGTAAGTACAATATCAGTATTATAAAAAATAGGGGTACAACTGAACCAAAATGGTGTTGCACACATGTGGATTGCACTTTAAAAACTCAACCACTAAATTAAGCCAATTAGGTAAGTTGGTGTTAATTTGTTTTTTTAATTAACTTCTCATCAATATATTTTCAAAAATAATAATAAATATTTAATAAATTTGGACTTAAAAATTAAATAAAAAAAAATGATGGTCTTTTTATGGATAAATACACTCACCGATGATAATGAAAATATAAAAAATTATTGTGTAATATTGATCAATTGACACTATAATGAAAATATTAATACGGAGTATTGATTAATTGACTTTGTTATTACTTGGAACTTATCATAGTTAGTAAAATACGGTACGAAAAAAATACGAGCACGGAAACATACGAGTATAATTCGATATTTTTTTAAAATACGTTTAAAAAATTCGGCAAAAAAATACGGAGACATAAACATACGAATATGGATACGTACGTGTATAATATATTATATATATTAAAAATTCGGGATCAAAAATTCGGCTATATACATCTTATTATTTTCTTATATATATATTTGTAAGGACAATAAAGAATATGTAACAAATAATAAAATAAATATATTACAACTGACACTATCACAATAATCATAAAAAAAAAAAAATTGTAAATATATAATGTAATATTCTACTAAAACATTTAGGAAGTGTGGTGATCTACAAACTTCTAAAATAATAATAATAATAATAAAGATATTAATAAAATTTAAAAATCTCATAACAAAACAAAAAATCTATAAATATCAATAAAAATTTATAATTCTTCAAGATTATAGTGTTCCACAAATATATATATTTCATTACTTTGATTAAAGATTATAATTGGAGTGACCACAATAAGAGATTGTATAACCAATAGCATTATTTTGATGGCTTGAAAGATAATGCTTATATCAAGTAAAGAGGGTAGAAAAGACAATAGTTTGCACAACAAATAATATTATTTTGATTGTTTCAAAAATAATAGCTATACCAAACCAAAGATGGTAAAAAAAACAATAATTTGTGTTTCAGAAAAATATGCTATTAGAAACTGTGAAGTTCGTAAATGAAAAAAAAAAAAATAGGTTACGAATTAAACGAATAAACGCCTTAGATACGGGGTGATAGAAAAAAACGCATATATTATCATATCTTTCAATCCTGATCCACCAACGAAAAATATTTACTCACTAGGGAATTTATTACGATAATCTGAATAAAAATGATGTCACGTAAAAGAAACAGAAAAATAATAATAGAATAGAAAACACGGATGACAGAGACGGAGAGAGAAAAGCTGAGGTCTGACACAGCTACCACTAGCCACTGGACGACCGCTACACCACCCTCGTTGGCCTCGCTGCCGCCGCCGCAGCCGCCGTCTCTGCAGCCAGGCCTCGTTGTGGTCCACACTCCACACAACCTATATCTGTCCTAGCTAGATCCTTGGTTCACTTCCTTCCTCTTCCCTAAGGACTCTCCGTCTAACTCTCTCCCATTTTTCTTTGTTACCGTCTCATAAATCTCCAAAATCATTCCCTTTTAAAAGACTAAGACCACTCCATGACCTTGTCTACGTGCAACATATATCCGTACAGCTCATTTCTCTCTCTAGGTGTTCTCTCTCTGCATATACACACGCGCACACACACACATATATATCCCTCCATTTCCTCTCTACCCACCCTCATAAGGAAGTGAGAATCTGAGGCAGATATTGTTGGGTCCGAGAGAGATTTAATTAGATTTTCATTTTAATTTGTGTGTTTGTTAATTTACATATATATATATCGATATATATACATACATATACATATAGAAATATAGTAGAGTCGGACTTTGGTTAATTGAGTGGTGTGGTGGGTATGTGAGAACAAATCAGCATGCAATAAGGGTTACGATCACCGTTTGTTTTCACCATTCAGTGTTGATTCTCGCAATCCAACCTCCGACACGTTGAGTTTCATACCTATCTCTACTTTGAAACGGCTCTGAATTTATGCTGCATGCACCCAAAGCCTATCTGCTATATATCACATACCATACCATAAATCAATACACCCAAAAACAATATATCTATATATAGAGAGAGAAAGTGATCCATTTGAGGAGTTAGAAATGGAGCAGCACCAGCAACAGCAGCAGCAAGATCTACAGCCAAGGAGAATGGTGAGGCCGCCGGCGGCCCAATCAGACGGTCGACAACCGCCGCATCCTCATCAGCCGCCACAACAGCAGCCTCAAAAGTGCCCTCGCTGTGACTCGCTGAACACCAAATTTTGCTACTATAATAATTATAGTCTCTCTCAGCCTCGCTACTTCTGCAAGACTTGCAGGAGGTACTGGACTCAGGGAGGAACCCTTAGGAACGTACCAGTGGGAGGCGGATGTCGGAAAGGGAAGCGCGCCAAAGGAGCCTCCTCCTCAAACAGTAGCGGCGAAGGAGATGATTCGAGATCTCAACCACCACCACCACCACCAGCAGGAGGTCCGCCACAACAAGAGCAAGTACCCCAAAATCTGACACAAGAAGGAATGGGGACTTTGGTTTCGCCGCCGGGGATGAATCCAGCCATCAATCCATACTATTCTGGCGGCGGCTACTTTTCATCTATGGTGGCTATGCAATCTATGGGCCAACCACGGCCCTTCAATCAACCAACACTCGGCATTGGTGGCCGATTTGGCGGTGGTGGAGGCGGGGGCGGCTATAATTTAGGTCTGTTACAAGGGTTTGATATGCCCCCTCCTCCGCAGCATCAAAATGAGATTTACCAAATGGGTAATAGAGCTGTTCAACGCTTGATTCAACCAAGCAGGCCTGGTGGTTCTTGGAATCAAACCTCCCTCTTCAACCCCCCAAACCCTAGTCATGCTTCAGAATCCAATTTTTGGAACAGCACTACTACTGCCCCCAACAACAGCGACACAGCAGCAGGAGGGGCTTCCTCCAACCCAGATGAATGGCCTGATCTACCAGGCTATGGCCCTTCTAGTCCTTGATCATCCATCACCCATTCTAGCTTGTAACCCTTCCAAGATCTAGTCACAAAACCTGTTTTTGTATACAGATTCCATTGAATCTGTGTGTTCCCTTTTTGTTTTCTTGGTTGGGTTAGGGTATATATGTATAATATTCTTGTTTGGGGCTTAGGTGGTGGATCATGTATGTTGAGGGATGTAGTGGAAATGGGCTATCTTCTTATAAAGAAGTTCTGGGTTGGGTTAGGTTAATGTAAAGTGGCTAAAGTGCTTTTTGATTGAAGTTAATGAGGTATGTGATTGATCTTTTCATCTTTCCAGCTTTAATGTGTGTGTGTGTTGAAAATTTCCAGTCTAAAAGAAAAGATTGTGATCGAGTACTATTATGTATGGTCTAAAAAGAAAAAAAGATTGCACTTTTATTACTTTTTAGTTAACAAGGGCTGTGAAAAAGTCTCAAAAAGGAGCACTTAGGTGAAGATAGAGAGAATGGTGTGTGTGCATGGACAGGTGAGTGTGAGTGAGCTTTGTGAAAGCTGATGGACAAGATGGTTATTGGTTTTTGTTGTGCATGTGGGTTCCGAATCTCACTGACCATTTTGATTGCTTTAAACTATGGCTTTGCAGATTACAGTCTCCCTCTCTCTCTCTCTCTCTCTCTCAAATACATCTTTGGGAAGTGCAACCAATATCAGATGGCAGATGGCTATAAATGTATGTCTAGTTTGATCTCGATATAGGAAAACTTTCATCATTCATTTGAATGGCAATTTTAGACTTCCCAGCTTCTTGTTTGTTGTAGTACAGATCAAACGGTTAGGATGGCCTGCATAGTTTCTGTTATTAGTACTTCACAACATGTACGCTCTATATATATACACACACACATTTCTGTACATACATATGATTTTTTTCTTCTTCTTTTTGGTTAGGAGGGGATGTCTTTTTTTTCTATCTTTTATTAGTATTTCTATTTTTTTTCCCTTTTGAGGACAGAAATTGATTGAAAGAAAAGATAAGATAGGAGAGCAAAGATGAGAATGAGAAGATAAGCAAAATGTAGACAAAGAAACATCAATCAACAATGCATAGTATACTCTTTAATTTGTTGAAATGATCATTGAAATCAAGCAAGAGGTAGAATTTTCTGAATAAGTTTTTTTATATAATTAAATTGTTTATATCTATACATGTGTGTGAATGGATGAATGATTCTGTACCTGTTAAATATTGATGAATGGTTTTGGTGATTGAGGCATGTTCAGTAAGCACACCAGAAGCACAAAGCGAAGTAGAAGATATCTGAGTCTGACACGCGTATGACTCTCACATAGTCATTGTGATTCTCTAGCTTTCCAGAAACGCGTTATGTAATAAACAATATAAAGTTGGATATTTTTATATAATTGTTTATAGAGAGAGAAGGGCGTGGAACGGGGAATACAATTTTCGAGCAAAGCATATCTTTGGTCTGCCATAGCTTTGATCTTCTTCCAGAGAATAATTGCAGGAACACACCTTGGGGTCCAAAACCTTTTCCGTACATCAATCTAAGTTATACTAGAATAAACAAGAAAGAGAGTGTGTTGCCCATCCAAGTTAGGAAAAATATATATATAATTCCAAATTAGTTGAACACTACTAATAAAGGGGTACTTTTGGAAATATATATATATATATATATATTTGAACTAATTTGGAAACAAATTTAAAAATAGGACTTATTGGTCCAAGTAAAAAATATTTAGGACTTAATTGTCTCAAGAGTTAAAAAGTAGGACTTGAATGGAATTTTCCCTACATTATTTTTTTTTCAACCAGTAGGGACCGTTGGTTGGTGATGTGTTGTACATGAATGAATCGAATTGTTTATAATTTTGGAGTTGGTCTTTCAAAGTTTAGTTCAAACTCTAGTTTTAGGAGGTTTGTTAAGTAAATGAGTCAATTTTTAATAAATTTGTATTTAGTTTGTGTACGTAGAACACTACATTCATAGATGGGTATGTATTTCTAAAAATAAGTTTTTGAAAATATTTACAAAAGTAAGTTTGGATAGGCTTGCATAGGTTGATGAATGTATATATATAGGTATGAATCAATTATGACAATCTTTAACATGAATTTAAACATAGTCTGAACACACCAGTATGAGCTTGTCAAAATTCCAAGTTGAGTCTGAGCAAATTGAAATTCTGCTCCATCAACAAGAATTATTTGCCTTCCTATCCCTTGGTCTGCATTGCTGAGTGCTTCATTTTTCAAAGTGAAAGAAAGGGCTTGTCATGAATTTCATTTGGCCCATTGGGTGGGATGGTGACCTCGCATTGTACTGGATCAACCATGATGAGTGGATGTGTAATCTTTCCTTTATTTTGTTTCTCTACTTTGAACGCTTTGAGGGCATGGTAGGGTGACAAATGCATGGAGGAACAATCCAGTGTCTCGCTTTAATACCACATTAACATGTACGTGATGTTAAAGTTGCGACCCTAATTCTATTCTTTTTCATATTATCGGACATTCATCATAAGTGGTGGTACCACCTTCCACCAGAAATCCAATCAATACGTGACTTGTGGCCCACTGCGCCATCATTTGGTCAGTCAACTCTTCTTCTCGTTTATGGGTCAACAAGTCTATACTTACAAGCATTTTCATAATGTTTATCAAAGCAACCAATCAAAACACACTACGCGATTATGTCTAAAACTACTCATAATTGAGGTGTAGGCGTGACAAACTTAGGTCATCATATTTAATGTAGTAATGCTTAGATTATCTCTATTTATCAACCCTGCTTAGACGTATTAATGAAATTTTTTTCCCACATATATATATATATATTGATAAATTTTCTAATTTTTTAGCTTTTATTTTAATATATGTAATAAAATTTATCAATATATATATATATTTTATTACATATATTAAAATAAAAGCTAAAAAAATTAGAAAATTTATCAATATATATATATATATATATATATATATATATATATAACATGCCTATTTATATATAAGCATCTCCTCTCTCACGTGCAGTAGGATGCACTTCAATTAAAGATGATTTTGTTTCTACAACTATTCATCAAAATATTTGCTACACGTTTTACAAACTCTCTATTTTTCTCAATTCTTCTCTCCAATTTATCATTTTTTATAAACTTTTCAACTTTCTAGAATTCTCTCTCTCTTTGACATTCTATACTTCTTTATTATTTCTAGACTTTTATATTATTAAAATTAAAATATATAAAGCATAAGAGAAGAAAAATAGTATTTGTGTGGTCATATTTTTATCGACAAAAAAAACAGAAAGAAAAATTATATCCAAACATATTAGTAAATCAAAGAAAACTGTGAGCAACTTCTCAAATTTTAACATTTTAATGACTATGATGGATGACCATATAACCATTTCGCATTACAAAATTGAATTGATTGGATGTTTATTCGGCTTTTTGGACTAGAGAGACAAGAACCTAACTATCCTTTTCCTATCAAAAGTGTAAGTTCGATGTAGGGACAAAGGTTTTATATATTAAAAATATATATATAACCCCTTCCTACGTACTTGGCTTAGTCGTTATTCTAAATTTGCGTGGACAATGTGTGAAGATGTGATAATGGTCTAATAATTTAATCTCAATTCAACTGCTCATGCAGCTTGTCTTCTTCCGATTGGCTATCTGAGAATGATTAGGTAAAACTTGTTATGCAACTAATTATATATAATTCCAGAAAGTAAAAATGCATTTGGTGGGTTTTAAGAAAATTCGTTGTAAATACTTTAATTTGTTTATTTAAAATAGCTACTAGGCACTAAGTAGAAGCCTTTCATCTCATGACATGTTTATTAATAGTATTTTATAGAATTTATAAGATCATTCTTGTATTTGCTTTCAAGTTCTTGAGTTTCCAAGGGTTTACCCATGTCAATTCTCATAATTTTGTGGATGATGGGGGAAAATGGGTCACAAAGTTAAGAGGGGATGATGAGGGGTGGTGATCACAATGGTTTCATGAAGGTATACTCGCTCTAAATTTGGTGGCGATGTCAAATGTATTTTCAGGTGGCATTGTGTAGTGGTGGTGGTGCAGGCGTTAAAAATGTAGGAGACAATATTGACATTAAGTTGCATCACTGCATGGCTAATTTTCTATGTCATGTCTATAGGCTAATTCTACATTTTAAGTCAGAAACCCTAATTGTTTCATATTTATTATATTGAATCATGAATAACTTTAAAAAACAAAAAAACTATATATGCATAAAAATTATATAATTAATTTACTGCCAAGGTCATGATATTCCGGAGAAGACAATAAAAAACTCAATACAGTCAGATATACACCTTGATTTGCACATGCTTTTCTTTTCCTTCTTCATAGTAGTGTGAGATACAAATTTGTAATATTGACAAATTTGTGAGTCAAAACTTAATGAACAAGATGTAATTTTTGTTTATTTTGAGTCTCGGTCATTTGGAGTTGAATCGCAAGTGCTCTTACTGTTACATTCATTGAGAACATCATTTAGTATGGGTAAGATTGTAAGGAACACTTGTGAGTATTAATTTTTAAAGTTGGAGTTGGAAATAACATTCAGTAAAATTCAACTGGTTGCACTTCACTTTAGAACCAGTTGCTCTTTCTGAGCAAATACAGCTCTGAGGAAAAATCTAACCGGTTGCACTTCTTGATGAGAAACAGGTCTCAGGAAAAATCCTTTCAATCGGTTGCATTTGTTTGGAGATGCGGAAAATCAGATTTTGGTAACTTTTCAATATCCCATTGGTACCCAAACTTGTAGGGTAGTACTTGCACGATTTTAAAAACTTCTTTCACTTATATATTGTTAGGACTCTCTAATATATATATATATATATAACATCTTTCTAAAAACCCTAGAGAGATGTTGGTGGCTTCAATTGAAAAATCAAAGTTTTCAGTTTTTACTTATCATTAAAGCTTTTTGAGAGATTTTTCAAATAAATCTGATTATATATTTTTTAGAGTACACACTTAAACACAAGAGTGATTAGGGTGATGTTCTTGTACTAATCAACACATAATCTTTAGAATCTATATTAGATTACAAGTTGATTAGAGTAGGAGATTTTCAACAAGCCTTCACAAAATTCTGTTTTGAATGAAAAGTTATTTTAAATCACATTTTGAGAAGATCAAGACATTTGTGGAGTATTGGTTGATTTACAAGTGTCTTTTTACAGAGATCAAGAGTAAGCTAAGTGTTGCTGAACGAGGGAGTTACAAAGTCAGGAATTGTCAGCAATTAGTTTTTAGTAGATTAATAAGGTGTGAACCTGAGTCAGAGTCAAGTGTACTTTGCTTCAACCATAGTGAATCGTTTCATTTTGGACAACGTAAAAATCC